CTTACTGTATCATCTTAACCGGATTGCTGTTATTGTCATTAGAATACGACCATATCGCCGGATACTTTTACATGTTTTTCTACGTAGCCATGGAGTCTCTGAAATATTATTGTGTTATCTCATCTTAACTTGTCAAGTAGACTTAACTTTTTGTTTACTGTAATAAACATTTTCCTTCATACATAGGTGTAGCGTTTTCATTTGAACGGAAATTGGTGTGTTTTCCAATCAGTAGCTCGGATTACTTTCCAGACGGCTGACTTACGGTTGAATCGCTGATTCAGCGAGAGACGTGTGTAGGCGTCCAATGTGTAGTAATCGACAACCTCACGATTACAAAATAAAGATTTCATACAAATTTCGGAGAATACTTACAGATACATTAAAAAATCTCTTTCTTTACGTTAAAAATACAGTCGGTCGAAAGGCATTCGATCATTGGGAGATCAATTATCTTTCAATCAGAACAACTTATTCACATAAAAATCCTACAAGAGAGAACACGATCTCTTGCAATTTTGGTTCCTAAAACGTGACAAATGCAACTGACTTTCAGCCACTGGAAAACTGGTGGCTACACTACATATACCCATGCACGACGTGAGGTATTTCTGCTAACTGCGCATGCGTCCAATGTATAATATTAGGAGGTGGCCTCCATTTCAATTAAGGGATAAGTTATGTATTAGTAGACAGGAAAACATGAAATATAACACATTTATAAACACCAAGTGAGTCTAAAACACGTTAAATCGATATCAAAATGTGAGCGATACCCATATCCTATATAATAGCAAATGAACTGCTAAACATTTTGTAAAATTTTGTCCAAAATCAAAATCCAAATGGAATATTGTTACCCTGGTTGCAATGTATATGATGAATGTTTCTACATAAAGTTAGCAGTAATACTACTACCTGGTGACGATGTTACCTCTAAGTGAACTTCTCCCTTTGGATGTTGGGGATTGTGGATGTTTATGTTTTCTGCATGTCCGTAGCGCGATCTGTGTGCCTGTGCACTTAGGATGTTTAATGAAAAGAGTCCTTGCCCATGACTAAAAACTGGACTCTGTTTGGTAATTATGATTAGCAGAGGTTTAACCAACGAGTAGTATATGGTCCTTTTAGACTAGCGAGGTAACTTGCGCGATTTGCTGTCGGACACTACTGTCGCAAGAGTAAATAGCATTGCGAGTTCATTTGACAGAACTCGCGGACGAATTCTCACGATTCTCGCAAACTTTCCATTTCGTTTCGATATTTCGGCGAGTAAACGTGCGAGTTTTATTATATTGTGGCACGTAAATGAGTATCCTGCTTTTTAATTTTGCTACGCCCTTGTTATAATACATCCTCAAGGTCTACCGCTGACATACGAATAACATTTTTAAATTATTGGGATTGATTCTCCGATATTCACCTCATCAAATTAGGCCCCATACTTTTCTCTTCGTGAGGTACTACATTCTCTCACTCAACACTTCTTTTGTGTTTCACATTATTGCATAAAACTACTACAACCGCGGCAACACAACGATGTCCTATTGGCGCCAAAAAGTTAAAAGAGCTGCTAGTGTAAACAGTTTCGTGAGAAATTGCGACAGCAATGGCTCACCCAACTTGCCCGACAGTTTATCGTGACACATTGCTCACAGTGTAAATACGTGTGGAAGTTTCTCGCGCGAGATTCCGCAAGTAACTTGCTAGTCTATCTGCGCCTTTATATTCCACCTTCTTTATGTTGGCGGTCTAAATGAGAATCTGATTTGATTAGTAGAAGTAGAAGTTAATTTATAATTATCTAGAAGCCTTGGTCAAATACACGAGTGTAAGAAAAACATCGCCTTTAATTTTTTGAGATTCCAAGCAAAGATCGAGACTGAAATATATTGCTTGGTTCTTTAACATTTGGTCCTTCCAGTCCTTGCTTAATAGTTAATTACCCCAATTCTACTATACAATGGTTCACGGTTATCAGTTCCGCTTTTACATTTGAGTGATATTACATATACCTACTCAAGCTTGAGCTGTGACGGAGTAGTTATCTATTGTGCATGTAGGTACGTAATTTTTTTTGTAAACTAGGTTATCAATCTTATTCGCCACCCTGCTGCTGGTTAGTACTATTAATTGTAACAATTAAATTACCTATTTGAGATCATTTTCCTCACCAGTTCTAACCACGGTATACTTACACCGTGGTTCTAACCATAGCTACGGGTTATTTAAAATGATGACGCCCGCTGATAAATATTAAGTATAGAACCTGGAAGTCATCTTGTTTAAATGAAAGTAGCGCTATCAGTTTGCTGGAGAAATGAGTAAAGCGAAATTTATATTACAAAATAACTTTTAGGACTGATACACATAATCTAAATCTATGATTCCGAGGATTATTAACAACCCCCAAACATAACACCTCCATGTTAAGAAGATGATCTTTTTCGTACAACATCGCGGTAAGTTGGAACAATATCCCCGCCAAATTAAGAGAACTAGACAGAGTGAGATTTAAAAAACAACTTAAGTCATACCTTCTGGATAACCAAAATAATACCCTCTGTTAGCAATGCGTTTTACCGGGATCCATTTGTTTTTATTTTTAATTAAAATTTTATCTGTGTACTTTTTCAAATGTTACCAATCTACATTATTGTTCTATATTGTTTACTACCCCATTAAAGACTCGCACACATGTACAGCAAATTTAATCTATGTTTGACGTTGCAAAGTTTATTACTTATTGTAATTAAACCTAGAAGTTAAGTGGAAGAGCAGCATTCGCTGAACTTCGTCTCTACATCTTTTTGTATCACAAAGAACTCTTTTTACTGCAATAAAGGCACTATTATTATGGTCGGTGTTTCTTGTGAGAACTCAGGTCTAGCCTGGTTAACTAATCGCACGGATTAAAAATCAAGTAACGATTAGTGTCTGTGTCTGTGTCTGGTGAAGTTATGTAGGGTCCTTAAAAAAAAAAAAAAATAAAAAAATAAAAAAATTACACACGTACATTGGACATCTAGGGATACTATGTAATTCGTACTTACCAACATACCTATTGATGGGCACAATAGCCAACGCTATCAGGAAAGAGGAAAACAAAACAAAACAAAAAAAATCACTATAATAATTCCTGTAATTTTATTAAATGGAGTTTATTGTGTAAGTGTTTCTTTGGCTTTGCGTTTGGGTTGAATACGAGTGGGTTGTGATAACGTGGTGTGCTTCTGTGAAGAAGGAGTTTTGTGTTTTTTAATTGTATTTATGGTGTTTCTTTGTTCCTGAGGTCGTATTTGTGAGGTTGCTTGGGTTTTTGGTGGAGATATTGCAGTATTTTGTGAGCCTGTGGTGCTGTTAAGGTTTTTGCGTTTCGGTTGTATACGAGTGGGTTGTTTCTGAGAAGAAGGAGTATTGTGTTTTTTAACTGTGCTAGGGCGTGTAACTTTATTGGATGGACCTGTCTTTGTAGTGCATGTTGCGTTACTTGTATTTATGGTGTTTCTTTGTTGTTGAAGTTGTATTTCTGTTGTTGCATGGGTTATTGGTGGAGACATTACAGTATTTTTTGTGAGCCTGTAGTGCTGTTAAGGTTGTTGCCTTTGGGTTGAGTACGAGTGGGTTGTGTTTGTGATAACGTGGTGTGTTTCTGAGAAGAAAGAGTATTGTGTTTTTTAGCTGTGCTAGGCCGTGTGGGTGAGGGCGTCTTTGTAGTGCGTGTTGCGTTACTTGTATTTATTGCGTTTGTTTGTTATCAAATCAAATCAAGATCAAATGGGTATACTTTTTGTAGTTAGACTTAGCTTTAAGTTCTACACGTTCCTTCAGACTTTTACACAATTTGCTTAGTGATATCCACCCTACAGTAAGGTCTTCTCTGAAATTACAGCTGTCTTTTGTCCCTTTAATAAATCTCTTGCGGATGCTTCTGTATTCTTCTCTTCTAGATTTTTTTGCCACTCTTTTCAAAAGCATGATTATTACGATCCCTTACAGAATGGAATAGAAACATAATCACCCCATAATTTTCCTATAAATCTGTCAAAGGTCGAAAAGAAATATCTTTCGTCTGTTCTTATAATGTCTAAACATGAAAAGGATGTAAACCAACTGTACTGTTAAATGAAGACGGCAGTGTCGTCAAATGGCAATAAACATAGTAAATCTTTCAATTTCAGTAATCACCTCTTGGGCAAATTTTCCAACGAGATTGTGTGCACATTTCGAACACCAACACGACTGAGGACTGACACCGATCATTGATCAACAACATCGTGGTAAAACATAAAGGTTTTTCCACTGAAAAGGTACTGTGTCTCAGACTCAGAATAAGCAGCAGTAATAAGCCATGCTGACAGTAGTATGTAATAGTAATAACAAGCCACTATCTGCCAGAATACCCCAAATTTCAGCGTCCATCTACTTTATACAACTGAGTATCTGTTGTCTGCTTCTATACAAAGACCGTACAATATTTTACTTATTCCTAATAGCCTCCTCATTGTGTGACGAAATTTAATAACAAAAGATGCCAAGATGACGAGCAAAATTTCAACCTAAATTTTGAAATAAACAACTAGCCACTACTAAAAACAAACACAAGACGTTTTCGGTTATGAAAACAGTATCATCAGAAATGTTCAAGTCCAGTGGAACACAAAAATCCACCTAGTTTTTGGCTAGGGTAGTAGGTAAATATACCTTCTATTCTACTAGTTCTTCAATGATGGATAGTACCTAAAACCACCAAATAGTTTTCTAATTGAGAGCAAAATAATTTTTGGGACCGAATATTCAGGAAGCAAACGGCAAAAAAATCTATACAAGCTATAAATGATTAAAATTCAAGAACGATTTTGGTGGTCTATGGTTCAAAAGTCACATCAAAGTGCAAAAAAATACATTTTTTGGAATCGATGGAGTGCCCTATCAAGCAATCGACAAGATTTTAATTGAACCACAATGTTGTTACCGATTTACGCAAAATAATTTAAAAGTAATTTTTAAGTAAATATATTTGGATAGAATAAATCAGATAGTTATCAAAATGCAGCTATTCCGGTTATTCCTCTTCCCAAAATCAGAGCGTGGACGTCATGTGTACCTAGAACAAACGATTTTGTACAATCTTAAATCGGTTGTAAGCCGCAGTAATTACCTTCGTAAGTATTCACACTTTCCAAATTCATAATGTGACGGATAATATGGTATTCATCCTGGATACCATTTGCTCCTAGCATGTCACGTGCAACACGCGCGATTTCGAGCGATTTTCCGGCGGAATTACGTTTAAGGAGCGATATCATTAGAGGCGAATGCCTGAAATTACTAAATCAAGGTAGGCTTTATGTTAATCCGACTTACATATTTTTGTCTTTTAGTCGCCCGACATGTAAGCAGGATTGTAACCCTAAAGCTATTTCAGTAACCATATCTGCCAGTTTCTTTTGAATTAACTGATTGGATGCTAAGGGACGATCAAATTGTTTCCTGTCCAATACGTAATTCCTAGCTATCGACAAACAGGTTTCGGCTGCGCCTAGGGCTCCCCACGCGATTCCATAACGTGCGTTGTTAAGGCAGCTAAAGGGACCTTTGAGACCTTCGGCTCCAGGCAAAAGATTCTCTTCTGGAACTTCTACGTTGTCTAATAGAATCATACCCACAGCGGAGGCGCGCAAAGAAAATTTTCCTTCAATTTTTGGAGTCTCTAAACCTTTACTTCCGCGATTAACAATAAATCCACGAATTTTGCCATCCTCACATTTGGCCCATATGACCATGCTGTCTGCTGTGGGAGCGTTAGTTATCCTAAAATACGCCGTTGCATCTTCAGTTGACCAACAAATGGCTCGCTTACCAAGTTTTGCTTCCAGATAAAATATATGTTTTGGAGGCAGAGTTGTATTTTGCTCGAGTTTCCATTGAACCTGGATCACTACCATGATTTGGTTCTGTTAGTCCAAAGCAGCCTATCGTTTCCCCTTTCGCTATAAATCCATGCGATGAAAGGGTGGGTGGCAAATGAATTAAACAGCTTACCCATTTGAGGTAGATATCTTTCTTTCTGTTGCTCTGTACCAAACATATGTATGGCTCCCATGTACAAAGATGACTGCACACTCACAGAGGATCTATACGCACTATCAATTCTCTCTACTTCTCTGTTTATCAGTCCATAGGCAACATTTGACACTCCTGGACAACCATAACCTTGAATCGTTGCGCCTAGGAAGCCCATAGCTCCTAAATCCTTGAGCACTCCCCTGTCAAATTCTGCAAATAAATGTAAGTCGAGTTAGCACATGGAATTTTACCAACCTTCATTTCGGTTTGCCTTCACAATTCTGGGAAATAATTTCTCCTGGCAAAATTTCCTACATGTGTCTTTAATAGCTATTTCTTCTTCGGTGAGCTGGGATTCAAGGTTGAGGGGATCTTCCCAATTAAAGACCACTTTGGAGGAAGCAGCACGCGAATTATTGAAAACTGAAACAACGGTCTTTTAGCTTATTGAATTTAGTTAAATGCTAAAGATACATTTTTGTAAGCCATAACCGCTTAATTTTGACGAACTTACGATGGTTTTCAGTGCCATTTCTTGATAGTGTGGCGAAAGGTTTACGATTCGAAAAGCAAGTGACTGTCAAATCTGAACCTTTGCTTCATTCAGCGAGATAAGATAAATTCGATCTTAGGTGACACTCGAATTACGTCTCAAGTAGTCGTTACATCACACTTTTGCATATTAACCGATGTAATAGGCATACTCTTCAATAAACAAAATACACTAACACACATACACGTGCTTATTAAAAAACTGGAAGTTATTTATAATTTTGTCAAGGATTTCCGTGGCCGCTTAATTCGGTCATGCGCGTTCGCAATGTATGCATTTTAAGGGTAATGGCCAGCAACATAAAAGTAATATTTCGACTGTATAATGAGTGTCCAGTAAGAAATAATTCAATTTTACGGTTTTTACCTTTCTAAACAGCATAATTTATGAGTCTTAGTTGCAAACAGTGACACTGCATTTATTTCGTGCCTGTCGGTCATAGTCTTTTGGAACTTTTATTTTTATTTTAGTGCGCTAGTTTTCCATGCACTAAAATCTCATTTTCGCTCAAATTTGTAATCATGTTTTATGAAATTTAGATTCCGTTAGGCACATTCACAGTACCAAAGTTGGAGGAAAACCTACTTGAAGTTTTGCCTACCGCAATACGTTCATTAATGAGGTTGATCTTGTTTAATATTGAGCTGATTTTTTTGCTAATTTTTTTGGTTGCAGAATTTTTTCATTTTTATAAGGAAACGGTTTTTCACTGGCCACGGAAAAGCTAGTGTGGACACATCTATAATTTTTTGCAATTTTTATTAATTTGGAATGTATTTCCAAAATGTCTACACATTTTTGATACATTTTCAAACTTTACCACACACTTTTTGAAACATTTCCCTCATATTCCCATCAATTCTGAAATACATATATGCCTTAACTTTTCTAAACATTCCAAAACATTCTTTTCACACCTATTTTCTACCCGTTTCTAAAACATTTTCAATAATTGTTTAAAGTTTTTGAATTCGTTTTGGGTTTGGTTCACTTTTCCAACATTTCTGTAATTACTTACAAATTTTGAATATTTTGGAAAGTATTTCCAAAATGTCCTCAACATTTTCAAATGCACATTTTCCATACATTTCCAAAATAAACCACACATTTCTGAAATATTTCTAAATTTTTTTAATAACCCTCGAGACATTCTCAAATTTTTCTGTACTGTTCGAACATTTCTGAAACATTTTTAGAATATCTAACAAGTTTTGAATAATTTGAGAAGCATTCCGACAATTTTCAAAATGGCCACACATTTCCGATAGTTTCAAAATTGATTACACATTTTTTAAACTTGAGACACATTTCGGAAACATTCCATATTCTGATATATTTCTTATTTTTCTTTTCAAACACATTTCCAAAATGTGAATAATTTTGGACAAATTTCCCATATTCATGAAACGATTCCAATATTTCTGAAGCATTTTTGGAACATTTTCAATATTCCGAAACATTTTCAAATATTCCTGCATTTCTATAATTTCTTATAAACCGTTTCCCTGTGAAAATGCACACCTTATGGAAAAAACGGATTAGTGTTTTATTTACCAATCCATATGGATGCAAATTTAATCTAGTATAACTGAGAAACTAAGAAAATGGGTCATTCGAAACGCATGCTATATTAATAGCTTATGTTTTCCAGGACAAGTGAAAAACCGTTTCCCTAGAAAAAATATATAACTTTCTTATTAACGAGCGACAAAAAGCGAGTTGATGATTTTGGACTTTCCGTCCGTCCTCTGTGGATACGATAACTCACTAACGGCTTCAAATTTTCCAATTCTGTTTTTAGCAATAGGTAAACAATGGGACTAATTGATTAAATTTTGGTCAACATTCATCAACTGGTAGTGACTTTGTCGCTCGTTGTCTATATTGGAGCGGTTTATTTATATCGATACGGATGCAAATTTAATAAACTGCACCGATATAGACAACGAACGACGAAAGGTACAAAATAGTAATTTTGACTAATTTTTGTATACTAAAATGTCTTTTCTGAAAAGCAGGTTCTTCAGGAACATTCAAATTAGGAAAATAATAGGTTTCCATATGATATTCAATATCAAAATCTTCTAAAGACTGCTTGTTAAGGATAGTTCCAACTATATTCGATGTTTGAAAGATTGAAGTGGGGAAGGCAGTTAACGATGTAGAACGAATTCCTAGGGCTCCTGCAGATACAGGGAGGGACTCCTGAATCCATGAATTTGTTGAAAATTTGATGTTTAAAATAATTTCCATAATGCTCTTGATTTTGTTATCGAATAGTTCACATATATTGATATATTCCAGAAAGGACATCTTAAAAAATGTTCAACTTTGGTATTCATAAACATTTACGGAGTAGGAACAAAGTCGTAGACAAACAGGTAAATTTATGTATAATTTTGGACTTGAACGATGTTTGAAAAGCTTCTTCAGTTAAAATGACAAAGGAAGTCAGGAGGTCAAATTCAGTTAAAACTTGTCTACATTTATCTATAAAGAAATTTTTGCAAAAAATTAATTCAATGAATGAATTTAGTACCAGACCAAATCTCTTGAAATTATTTATAATTTTCTCAAAATCGCCATGAACTTTTTTGCCTGTGCCTCTAAAGTGGCATCATTAAGATACCATACGGTAAGCTTGGATTCGATTTCCTTGATTGCAGGTTGAAATGTTGGGAGACGACAGAGGATAGAATTATATGATCTTTGATAATTAAATTTGTTGGGATAGCGTAGCTTTGCCACGGAATTAAAGGCGTTCCGACAACTGTGGGCCGAATTCCACCATCTTTTTTTGAGAATGCACATAAAGAGGCACTGTGTGTTTTTATCATTAGTTAAGTAACTAAAAGTTGCACTGTAGGTTAGTTACCAGGAGTTATAATCTTTCTAAGGCGGCGCTATATATAATTATGTGTTGCATATATACAATGGTATACATACATGCCACTACAGTCCACATCTCATCTCACATTATTTATGATGTCATCCTGTGTTCTTTTCTTTCCACTAATGCTCCCGTAGGTATTGGGTGATACGTTTAGGGCGCCACCATTCTAATTGTCCATGCCGGCGTTTAGGATTACAGTTCGCATTTAAATCAAATTTGAGAGTCTCCCAGATGTTTAGAATTTCGGAAATTGGTCATTTAAGAATTCTAATAGTCGGAATGCAGATTTGCTATTTCCAGAATTTCAAGCTTTTAGCAAAGAGTAACCATAATGGCTACTCTTTGCTTTTAGGATGGTGAGATCAAAAATTAGAATTTTTTAAGTACTACATGCAAATCTTATAATATGAAAAATCGTGGAAATGTGCACAAAATCAGAATGGACTTTCCATATTAACGAGGTTCCTTATACTTAAAAAATTATCAAAGTCCTCGTTTGAGATCGAAGGGACTTCAGCGCATTTTTGTGTGGCAGATCAGTATTCTATTAGCCACTTTCGACTCAACCATCAATAACAGATCTTGTCGAAGGCTACTACATTCACTAACCGCTTCCCACTTTCCTCGTGCACCCGCAATTCGCTTTTAAAGATTTGACTCCACCATCAGTAAGATCGTGTCGGGGGCTACCACATTCCCTTTGACGGTACCCCCTTCCGACGTCCCGTTTACCCGCAATTCGTGTTTGAAGATTTGACTCCACCATCAGGAAGATCGTGTCGGGGGCTACCACATTTCCTTTGACGGTACCCCCTTCCGACGTCCCGTTCACCCGCAATTCGCGTTTGAAGATTTGACTCCACCATCAGGAAAATCGTGTCGGGGGCTACCACATTTCCTTTGACGGTACCCCCTTCCGACGTCCCGTTCACCCGCAATTCGCGTTTGAAGATTTGACTCCACCATCAGTGAAGATCGTGTCGGGGGCTACCACATTCCCGTTGACGGTACCCCTTCCGACGTCCCGTTCACCGCAATTCGCGTTTGAAGATTTGACTCCACCATCAGTGAGATCGTGTCGCGGGCTACCACATTCTCTTTTACGGTACCCACTTCCGACGTCCCGTTCACTCGCAATTCACTTCTATTGGCGACACGAGAAAGAGAGACAGCGATTCGAGATTCACGAAACGTTAAACCGCGTGAGTTCGCAACGGAAGGTAAAAGGCGCCTGACTACTTCTCGAAGACGCGCGCGCGCGCCTCGCAAAAGGTCGTTAATTTCGCCCCTATGACAAAAAACAAAATTCCGCCACGCAGGAGTTGTGCGCGTTTACAACATCTTTCCGACGACACCAATTTGAAAAGAATCGGACCAAAACTGTAGTAGAAGATAGGAAAAAACTGAAAAACCTTCACGTTAGTATACTACGCTCGAGGATGACGCCCAGATGTCGCCAACCCCACATCATGTAGCCATGTCCCTAAGGTTGACAAATTTCACGGCCCTGTAGATACACGTACACCCGTTGCCTTTCTACAAGAGTTCTTCTACGCGCCCACATTTGCTGCCAGCCAGCCAGCCAGCCAGCCAAGCCCAGCCAGCCAGCCAGCCAAAGTGAGATTAAAAGCTACTTTTTACAAATAAATTTGCAAAAATGCGCTAAAAAGATTCTTGAGTTTTCATATTTGCGCTACAATGATGACTGTTATGCAGAAATGCGCGAGTGGTGAAAAATTTCAGGGGTGAGCGCATCAAGAAGTTGGTCCTTAATATTCAGTAAATAAATGGCGCATTAAATTACATTTAAATAAGACAGACACGTAATGTTAAGAATTAGGTATCAAATAGGGAAGCATTAGGAAAAAGTATTCATGAGGGTTGCTGCAGTCTCGCTATAGCAGTCTCCAGTCTGCGAATTACAAATTCATTTAAAGGCGTAAAAACATCATTAGTGGAGACAGTTTGAATTATGCCAGTATTGGATTTGATCAAACTCGACGAGGTTAAGTGAATATTGACATTCACGATAACAAAATGTCAGTTGCAATCAAATGTGTGTTACACTTGAACTTAAATCAACACGAACGTCGAGGTGAACTTAATTGCTTTGTACATACAACATCTGTGCGTTATGTATATGTATATTTAATACATACACGATACACATACACACAATGCAGGCAAATTGTCACGTTTAATTTTGATTAACATTGTCGAGATAATTGCATTTAGTCTCCTTTAGGAATAAAATCTTTTTGATAAATTGCGCACATTTTCTTGTGCATATTATCCACAAATTATGAAT